AATCCAAGCCTCCTCATGCCATCTGCACATAATTTCTGCACATGGTTTCCAAAATTAAGGTTTTCTGAGAACAATACACCCAAGTCCAACATTTCCTCCACTCTGCTCAATCTGACATCACAAATTGTCTATTCGTTGCAAAGTGGATTCAGGTTACGATGAAACGTGATGCACTTACATTTTTCGACATTAAACTGAAGCTTATTGTCGCTACAGAAAGTTGAGATTGAATCTACATCCCTTTGCAACAACCTACAATCATCAATGGTTTTAACAGCAGCAAAGATTTTAATATCATCTTCATGAAATGAAAATTGTAGTCATTTACAATATTATACTGAGATATATCATTAATAAACAGAACAAACAAAAGCAGGCCAAGATGAGCCCTGGGGTCGTATTTTCGAATTCATTCGAGTATATTTCGTACACGAAATTTGACTGACAGCAATGTAAATTAAATGGGGAGCATTCGAAATCGTATGCAATTTCGTATGCGAGAATATTCGAAAATACGACCTCTGAGGTACCCCAGAGGCAGCTATATAGCTTGGAGAGTGAGCATCGTAAAATTTAACAAATTGAGATCTGTCACTAAGATAAGGAGCTAGATAATTAGTTATGTTTTCACTGAAGGAAAAGTTTTGAAACTTTTTAATTAGCACTCCATGGTGAACCTTATCAAAGGCTTTAGCTAAATCTGTGTATACAGCCTCAACCTGGCACTCGTCAGCCAGATGTCTCGCAGCATACTCAGAGAACGGCCAAAGATTTGTGACTGTAGACTTATCTCTTTAAATCCCATGCTGTTCTGGTAGTATTATATGTTTTACATGGTTATATAATATTTTATCATGTAGGATCCGTTCAAATATCTTTGACAGAGCTGGCAGCACTGGACCTATAGTTTTAAAATGAGGAGAAAAAATTGAGAAACAGACAGAGGAAATTTAAGAAAACATTGGTAGACATTATTTCTTAAACAAGTTATGGAATTTTTTATATTTAGGAACATTTGGAAGAAAATAGCAATTCGAGAGCCAATAATAAACAAATAAGTAATTAAAAAATTAAAGCATACCTAGATACAAAAATAGCAGAAGCCATTCTAAAAATTTTGTTGTGCAAGCAAAAAAAAATTTGCTTACACACAGTCTGGAACCCGTACTACTGCAAGGATATAGAGCTGCTTGAACGTGTGCAACGAAGAATCACAAGAATCCCAACTGAAATGCATAATCTTCCATATGATATAGATTGCCAAGATTTAACTTAATAACTCTGAAAGAATAAAGAAAAAGAGGCAACCTAATAGAGACCTATATAAATAAGATCCTGTATGGACACTACTTCCCAGAACTGCATATGGCAGACATGTTTCAACAAAACATGAATAAAAACCTCAGAGGACACAACAAGAAGCTCAAGAAAGAGAAAACATCCTTAGCGTTAAGAAAAAACTTCTTATGCAACCGCGTGGTATATACCGGTGGAATGCATTAAACCAAGATACTATAAACGCGCCTAACAAAAATATTTTCAAGAATAGACTGGATCGAAACCTATCTGAACTTAACTCCACCCTAGTACACTATCTCTGCAGGGCATTGGACAGAGAAGATACGGTAGACTCATTGGTGTCAAACCGCTTTCTTTTGACAAGAATCAAGCATAATAATAATAATGTTCGTTAACTTAAACACTAAGCCAGCACACAAGTGCTAGCTCTGTGCTGATGCGATACTAACTCGTTTCAGATCGTCGTTTTTGAAGTACTAAATTAACACTAAATATGTGCATGCGAATTCTGTTTTCGCGCGGTCGATTCGATGTATGTGTGCTAATTCATGTCTTAAGTTAGCACTTTTTCGTGGTTATTTCGTAATAAATTCATTATTGTTCGTTTTTTAGGCGTGTGATGAATGTACATACTAAATTAGCACTAAATATGAGGTACTAAATTTTCAAAGATTCAACTTCATCCAACTAGAGTGTGCCAGCTTAATCTTAATATATTTTTCTAAGTGTATAATTTTTCAAATGAAATATATGCACCTGATAACCAACTATTTTAATTTTTTAAAAATATATGTTGTTGTCCATTACTTGACACTCTTGAAACCAATAGTTGACATGTTACCTGTTTATAACATTGGGAAACTTTTTGTTGGGAAAAAATACAAATTTCAATTCTAAATTGGTAATAAAAGAAATTGCTTGGAAAGCATTGGTACATTGTGGTTTTTTGCTAATGTAGCTACAGTAAGTCCCCTATTGCAATCATCCAATGCAGGAATCATGTCTTCTGGTAGTTCTGGTGCATATTTCAGCAATTTCCATTTTTCATAAGTCATCTCTTAATTTAAACCTGAATCACAGTGTTTTAAGTTATTTGGTAATTGGTTGAATACACTTAAAATCCTTCAAGAAAAATTGAGCCAAGCATTTTACTTGTATTACATTCTCTTAACACAAAATCATTACAATTACGTGTGTTATAATCACGGACTTCACTAAAAATCCTAACTCTATCGCAGACATAATTAGGTACCAATTAAATATAAATAAACATGGACCCAGAACAGTTCCCTGTGGTACCCCATATATGTTACAGGCTTTTTTCCAGATATGCTATTTTTAAATTTAACAGACTGAACTCTATTAGATAAATAGGATGTAAACCAATTCAAAACAGTACCTCCTATTCCTATATTCTTAAATTTATGCAACAATATTTCTCTATTTACAGTTTCAAAAGCTCGCTTAAAATCTAGGAAAACGGCCAACACAACATTATCACAATCAATGGCCTTTAAAAAATCATCAGATATACTTACAACCGAGCTTACAACAACAGATTCACACGAATGTTTTGCACAAAAAAACCAGATTGACTACTAACTAATATTTGGTGATTATCACAGTGCCATTGGAGTTGTTCTTTCACAACCAGTTCGAGTAGTTTTTCATAAACAGGAACAGTATTTATGGGCCTAAATTCTTTATGTGTCTTGGTATTAATCTCTTTGGAACAGGTATTACAAGTGACTCTTTTCACGATTCAGGAAACACTCCAGTCATGAGAGAAGCATAATCACTTTCAGTAATCTATCACCAATGACATAACATGCATCACCAAGTACCTGCTTGAAAATTCCACTTTCTCCACCTCCAACGTTTTTCATGCTTTTTAAAATCTGTTTCATTCCACTCATAGAAACTGCTTCGAATCGACTAAAACATCTTAATGGGTTGCTAGGTGTTGGTGCTGTATTGACAGTATTTTTATTTGGTAAATTGTCAATTATTTCGGCGATGCTATTTATGAAAAAGCTGTTGAATTCATTAGCAATCATCAGGTCGTTATCCAAAACTTTGCTTTCAAATATAATCTCCTCAGGAATGCAGTGGTTTTTTCCAGGAGATAATAGTTTGAGGTTTTTTCACAGTTCTTTAGGATTATACTTATTTTCATCTATGACACCATGAAAGTATTTTTCCTTTTCTATTCTAATTTGGTTGACAACTGCATTCCGTTTTCTTTTAAACTCATTCCATGTTGGGGCATTCTTTGTAATTACGGCTCTGTTATACAATGCATCTCGCTCCCTCATCATCTAATTTCATAAGTAATCCAATGCTTATCGACATAAGTTTGTTCTGGGCACATGTCATCGAAGACCTCCATGATTTCTTCCACCAAGGTTGTTGCCAGCATATTCACATCAGCCAAACCATTATTCCATGTAGTATTAATTAGATTTTCTTGGAACTTTTGCACCACATCGTAGTTTCTTAATGGTCTCCTATAACCAATAACATTACTGCTTTTAGTTGAAATGTGTTCAAGATTCATAGACAAAATGGAATGATCACTAATCTTTAGTGGTGCTTAATATGTTTATTATCAGTTACAATGTAGTCAATAAGAGTTTTGCTCATCGATGTAATTCGACTTACAATTTGACTGAATCTATTAGTATAAATATAGTTTAGCAATTTATTTCCATAAAATGATTCTTTTAGTAAGTCGAAATTAAAATCATCCATTATAACATTAGGCCATTATAATCACTTACCCTGTCCAGGTAACCAGCAAAAAAATCAACAAACTTGCTACTTTCTTTATTTGGCAGGTGGTACAATACTATGCATAGGAACTTAGAGGTTGGGGAGCCTAGTTTGAGAGACAAGATATACATTGCACCAATTTTATTCTATATTTTACGTCTTTTCTTATAAAGGCCATTACACCCCCAGTTCTTCTGTTGTTTGTTACACATTGTTCCAGGTTATAACCATCAATCATAAGTTCACTCAGATCGATATCTTCAGAAATATGAGTTTCCGACAATAATATCAATTTTGGCTTCCAATCTGTAACCAAAATAACGATACTTTCTTTATTATGCAAAAAACCCTGACAATTAAAATATACAATATTTGAATTTAGGCAAATTTGACATCTAGTTACTACTTTAAATATTTGTTCCGTTGAAGTGATTCCATTCTTTGGTATGTCTCACATTTATTGACATCCCAGGCAACATGAGTAATATCTATATTCAATCGATATTTTTTGTTAGACAAGTCACAATTAAAGCATTTAATTACATTGCTTGTACAATCCTTAGAGTCATGCTCTTCGCTACATTTAGGACATACCTTCTTTTCCATGCAGTCTTTTACTTGATAACCGTATCAGCAACATTTAAAACATCTATTCACTCCATAATCAGTATGCACCAACATCTATTCCAGCCAATGTTTATCTTTTGCCTATCCACAATTTTGCTGTATGTATTACTATTCACCTCGAATACGATATTGAATCTGTTATTAAAGATTTTTGTTCTAGTGTACACATTTTTCAAGGTAGTTTACCCCTCCAACTTGAATACCGCCTTATTTCAAGATATTTCTTAGCTTTTTTCAATCTAATATTATGAAAACTTTTATATGTATTTACAAATCCTAAATTGAGATTGTTTTTTTTCTAGATACCAAAAATGGCCAACTATTGGCTTTGTGCAGCACTCTTCCGGTGCCTTATGCCAGTTTTAATAGGATCATGTAAGTATTAAAAGAGTTCCTTTATTGAAACTTTCTCAAAATGAATCACATCTAAATATGACAAACAATATGAGAAGAAGAAAGACTACAAAATCTAGATACATGATACATAAAGTGATATTTTTATGTCCATAATATGTCACTTCTTACTTCTTATTATGTTTAGTTCTTTCTCATTTTGAACTATTTTTCTACCATTTTAACATTGTTTAATTTTGTTCAATAGTTATCATTATAGAAGTTTCTTTTTCTTTCCTCAAATTCCTTCAAACCCCATCTACATTGAATAAATCTTGGGCGTGCTGCAAAATCTTAATCAGTGTCAGGGCAGGTCTGTGGGTCGTTTGCCGCTCCCATTTTTATTAACCCCCTACACTGAGTAACGCAGCAGGGCAAAATCCTGAAAAATAATTCTTATACTAAAATTTCATCAAAGTCTATATTACTTGTAAAACTTCCTACGGAAATGAGTTAATTTATTACATTGTCTACACTAAAATCAGGTCAAAACTATCAAAATTTCATCTAAAAATAAATAATTTGCACATTCCATTATAACAAAAACCCGATGGTATTTTTTTTATTTATCATAAATGGTGTTCTCAAAGGTTGAAAGATAATGATTATGAGTGAGGTCATAGCTGCTAATAAACATTTGAATAAAAGCGTTATTTTGCTTAAAATGAGTGGGGTATTGATTTATTAGTCTAATACTTCCTGTGTGTTAATTGGTCAATTACTTGAAAAATCTTTTATGATGCATAACATATTTTCAATCTTATCACCTATAATTTTTCATTTCTAAATTAAGAAGTTATAAGACTCTGGAGGTCAAAATTAAACAAGCTTTTTTATTTATACTACTGTTAATAATGTGATATAACATGATGTTGTAAAAAAGCTAATTAAATTATGATGATAAAATTCTCCCCTAAAAATCCTTGTTTGCCCTTTTAGACGTTATGTGACCCGCTTTTTTTTTAATCATGGAATGGCATTTTACCTTGTTTGCCATGTGGAAAAAGGGCGAGTCCTTTTTAGGGCGAGGACAAAATGCAGTGGATCGAACTCTACATTTTTGTTGTCTGTTATTAGCTTGAATTTGCATAAATATGTCAATTATTCTTTTATTAATTTATCATAAATTTCTTCAAATGAACAAACAAAACCTAAACTAGTTTATTGTATTATTGTTAGTATAGTCGAAATAAATATAAAATATACATTGAAACATAATTACATAAACGCTTAACAGAAGCGGAGCTTTAAATGAACTTTTCCATATGGAAAGAACTTTGGTTCATTAATCCTGAAAGTTTCAAATTACTGTGATCATTAGAAATACTTTGCACAAGTGATTTTTAAAGATACATGCAATAACGTGAGAAAAAAGCTTCCAAATTAAATTTGGAGTTTCAAATGAACTTCAAATTACTTTTTTCATATGAAAAAGATTTTAATTCATAAATTCTGAAAGTTTCAAGTCACTGTGATATTTAGAAGTAGTTTGCACAAGTGATTTTGGCAGATTTTAAACATTTTTGAAAACAATAACATAAGGTTTGAAGCTTCAAATCAATTTCAAATTAATTTTTCCACAAAGAGGAAACTTCAATTCATAAATCTTGAAAGTTTCAAGTCGCTGTGATCATTAGAAGTATTTTGCACAAGTGATTTTTGCAGATTTTAATCATTTTCAAATGCATAAACGTAAAAAATAGCTTCCAAATTTAGTTTGGAACTTCAAATTAACTTAAGAGGAAACTTCAATTCATAAATCGTGAAAGTTTCAAGTTACTGTAATCATTGGAAGTATTTTGCACAAGGGATTTCTGAAGATTTTAATCATTTTTGCATGCATTAACGTAAGAAAATGTTTCCAAATTCCATTGGAAGCTTAAAATCAGCTTCAAATTAACTTTTACACAAAGGGGAAACTTCAATTTATAAATCCTGAAAGTTTTAAGTCACTGTGATCATTAGAAATACTTTGTACATACAAGTGATTTTTGCAGATTTTAATCATTTTCACATGTAATAATGTGAGAAAAAGCTTCCAAATTTAATTGGGAGCTTCAAATCAACTTCAAATTAACTATTTCACATAGAGGAAACTTTAATTTATAAATCCTAAAAGATTCAAGTCACTGTGATCATTAGAAATATTTTGCACAAGTGATTTTTGCAAAATTTCAATCATTTTTGCATGCATTAACGTAAGAAAATGCTTCCAATTCAATTGGCAGTTTCAAAACAACTTCAACTTAACTTTTCCATGAAGAAGAAACTTCAATTCCTAAATCCTGAAAATTTCAACTTACTGTGATCATTAGAAGTATTTCGCACAAGGGATTTTTGAAAATTTTAATAATTTCTACATGTATTAACGTAAGAAAATGCTACTCAATTCAATTGGGAGCTTGAAATCAACTTCAAATTAACTTAAGAGGAAACTTCAATTCATAAATCGTGAAAGTTTCAAGTTACTGTGATTATTAGAAGTATTTCGCACAAGTGAGGTATATTATCGGTAGAAGGATAAGGTGGTGGAGGAATATATGAATGAAGTAAAAGAAGAACTGTGAAATGTGCTGAACACCATGCAGAAATGGAGATATGGATTACTTACAAAGAAAATAGGTTTATTATTTTATTTTCTGTTCATTTTACCTTTTTTTTTTTAAATGTTTCCTATTCACCACTAAGTAATACTTTTGTTGCATCTCTCATAGTTCTCAAGCAAATCAGTTCAATCAATCTTTACATATACGTTATAATATGTTCCAGTCGCCTTAAAATTATTACTATGTGAATACATAAGAAAATTGAGATCACTGTTTCAGTTGCCTCAAAATTAGGGTAACTGAGACCGTTGATTAAAAAAAAAATTGAAACTTGAAACACTTATTAACCCGAACAAAGTGAAACACTGAACTAGAACGAACCAGAACGAATATGCACGCATTTCTTGAGATTTCAATGAAAATGCCCAAAAATACGTTAAAAGTGGGGTTGGAAGTTATAGAAATTTACAAAGATTTTCTTATTATTCCCATCTACTTCCAGAATATTCCCATATATTTCCAGCATATTCTCGAGGATTTCCAAGTATTCCTAGGTATTTCCAGAGTATTCCTAGGTATTCCCAAAGTATTCCCCTCAAAGTGTACAAGTGATTTCCATGAGTGATTTACAGACCTATTATATTATATAATTTAGCCCTTAAAAAAAGAATGCTATTTTATTTGTTTCGACCCACTTTCCCTGGTTCAAAATCCAGTAGTAGGCCATTTACTATATCAACAGGAAATTCAATATAGGGCACCCCTTAAAATGGATTTTTCACTAAGTTAAAAAAGAATAAGTATTGATAACATGAAAAAACCAGGAAGTAATTTTATGGGGATTTTATTTTCCTGAAAAACTATTATTTTAGGCTCAGTTTATTTATCTTCAAATAAACTTACTGGTAAAAAGATAAATTCAAAAACCAATAGGATTGTAGATTCCGTTTTTTCACTTGATAGTTAGTGAATAAACTCTGGACCTAAATCTGACTTTTCTTTTTCCAGGTACATATATTATTTAGACCTTCAATCCTGTTGGTGATCTACTTTTACATACGTAACAAATTTATGAGAAAACTACATTTTTCAGAATTTTCTACAGAAACTATTGATAACGTCATTTATTGAGTTATTCGGCACTGGACATGGATCCCGAGTCAGGACACTTTTGATCCTGTCAAGTGTCATTAAAAGGCCGCTTCTACTGTCATTCGGAGAAAAACGATTTTTTCTAAAACTTTGACACCCTGGTATCTCAGAAACTATGCATTTTCGGACACAGGTTTATGGGAACTTTTTTTCTTAGAATCCCGTTAGGAATCACATCCAGAAGCTACGAACCGTATTTAGGAAACACCCTGTATATTTTTCCATTTTTTGACCAACCTGTACATGCTAGTCCAAGTTTTAATAGTTTAATATTATTTTTTCAAGAAGCAGAAACTTTTATAAAGAATAACTTTTTTCCGTAAAATTGATAATAAAAAAGTTTTCCATACGCTGCGAACTTAAGTGGGCATACTGTATATGTCAACACAGCTTTTTGGGGTCTATAATAGTCTTACGTTGTTGCCAAATGCTTTGAATTCATGAAAAAGCTCAACCGAAATTGGTTTTCTTTAGATTTAAGTCAACTAATAGAATAGGCATGAGGCAAAACTGCTAGAAAACTTAATCACACTGTTTTATAGGTTTGTAACATTCATTCCATACAAAGTAACCACATACTTTAAATTTACAAAAAACAAAAATATCTATCTTGGTTTAGTTTCATTGTTATATGTCGTCGCCCTAGTTGTGAATGGTCGTAATCCACTCAAGGTAAGTTGTGAGTATACTGCATTTAAAATTTTTATTTTTGGTGAAAATATGCTTTTTAATTAGCAAATATACTATAACAAGGTCAAATATTGATCACTGGCTTAGATCTATTCACCAACATGAAATTTAAACATTTATAAGTATGCATGTTAAGAGTATTAACAGTCACAACTCAAGAATGAACATTGTGTGGATTACGACCATTCACAACTAGGGCGACGATGTACTTCTTTATGTATCGGTGACTTGTTTTCTTGGGGAAAAATCGTGAAATATTTGGCAACAATGCTTTTTAGGGTCTGTAGTAGTTCTGCGTTTTTGCTATATGCTTCGAATTTGCAAAAAAATCCAACCCAAATTACTTGGTTCTTGCTACTTGTCCAGGAAAATATTATTTCTTTAGATTTGATTTAGGGTAGTATGTAGTAGAGTATGTGGATATACTACCATAGGAGTTTGTAGAATTTGTGCAATGTTGCCACATACGTTAAATCTCCAAATAAAACCCTTAATAATTAACATAGTGATTTAATTAGATCAAATGAAAAAAGCAAGACACATTAAGGATTTAGGAAGTTTTGGCCACATTTCTTCATAAGATTATAGCTTTAA